TCGTATAACTTCGGATAATGTATGCTATAAGAAGTTATTACGTTCCTTACTGGTGGTGGCGGAGGCTTCTTCGCTGGGGGAGGAGGGCTCTTCCTTACTGGTGGTGGCGGAGGCTTCTTCGCTGGGGGAGGAGGGCTCTTCCTTACTGGTGGTGGCGGAGGCTTCTTAGCTCGGGGTGGAGGGCTTTTCTTTACCGGGGGAGGTGGGCTCTTCCTTACTGCCGGGGGGGAGCTCTTCTTCGCTGGAGGTGGAGGACGTCTCTTGACTGGTGGGGGGAGCCTTTTCTTCGCTGGTTGAGGCGGTCTCTTTTTCGGGGGAGGTGCCGCACTCGTCTTAGTGAGGGGTGGCCGGGTCTTCTTGGCAGGGGTGACACCGGCCTTCTTTGCAGAGGGAGGTGACCTTTTGGGGCCTGAGGGAGGCGGAATCTTCTTCGCTTTAGGCGGGGGAAGCGTTCGTGATGCCAAAACCGACTGCAGTACGCTCACGGGTGACTGTTGTTCTCGGGGGGTAGTTGTGTACTCGTTCACCGAAGCAGCTTCAGCCGCGTGAATCGACACAGGTGTGGTGTACTTTAAGGGAATAGTCAGCGAGCTGCTTGTCGTTTGAACAGTGGATACACCTCTCGACCTCTCTTGCAATGTGCTGGGAAGGTCGCCGCAGGTGACCTGCGCGCGAAAAGGGGAATGCGGGCTGCTTCAGCTTGGCTGAGCGAAAATAAAGAGACAGCAGGTCAATTAAACTTGCCAAATTCAAACTTCTCCTGTGTATCTACCTTGACGAAGAAGAGGGTCACGAGGGCGAGGACCAGCCCCTGGGCGGATCGCGGCTGTGCGACCATATATCCTCTTGCTTCCCCTCACTCTAGCTTATTCTTCTCAGACATGCTTGTTTCTCTATTTCAACCTCTTTGGGAGAGCAGGGCAAACTAAGGTACGTACGGGGCGAGCCACGCCGTTGAACCCGCCGGTGCTAGCTCCGGAGAGGCCTGGCCGGAGAGGAGCCGGAGTGAAGTCCTGTCGCAAGTTTCGGTCGGCCGACCGGACGTGCCTCTGTATGGACGGTGAAGCCTCAACTTCAAGTCGAATGGATCAAGCCCACAAAGCTCCGAATCTGAGCTCCCCTCCTCGACTGTGAGGACTGACCATGCATAAAGTTGTATCAAGACTTCCCCACTGTGATTACTCCTTCTGGATGTGTACTGTACTGGCTGGCGCAAAGTGATCAGCCTGTGCCTTGAGAAGACGCAGAAGGGGAGGTGAACATCGCTGTAAAGGCAGAAAAGGCTACTTAAACTCCTGCCATACCCTCATGTGGGCCTTGGGGTGAGGGGGCTGTGACAAATCGCCAGGCATTCCGCTTCACCCAGAAGCCAGCTACAACACTCGGTTGGCGGACAAGGATATATTGCAGCATGCAGGAGGACGCCAGGAGAGCTGACTTTTGCGTTAAGCGGTCGACGCCGATCCCGACGTGAGGCAAGGCTGTGCCCTGCTTTTGGCTCCCAGCAGGGCTCCTCTCCGTAAGCCAGCCTCCGAGGCACAGCGCTGATCCAACATAGCACTGCATCCAGCTCATTAAACGTGAAAGTGATGCTGAACACGGCTGCCACCTGCTGAACTGTGGATGTCGCACAAGCCTGTACTATTCGGTTTGGTGGACTGTCGAGACGTGCTCGTACGTGAGAGGCGCCCCACAGTGAGGGAAGCCATTATTACATTATCTGCATGGTTTCAGTTTCCATTCGAGCTGATCCCCTTGCGGGAGTGAGGTTGGATATGGTGTACGCAATAACTTGAAGTCAGGGCTGGTGGGTGAGTCAGCATACACATCGCGACCCGAGTCTTTGTTCGGCTAACCCACGCAAAACATTTGCAAGGTCCTTTTAGGCGTTTGGATCTTGGGCATTAGGTGTTTTGAAACCTTTTCTTTGCTCTCAGGCTCCACCCACGTCGCGATGCCGACCAGTCCTCGCCCCTCAGCGGGGCGCTACGGCCAGGCCGGCCAGCTCTTCACCAAGCAGACCCAGGCCATCTTCTACAACTGGTGAGTTTCACCTGGGATGCGCTGAAGCCTGGGTTGATGACCGACCCCCTCCTCGGATCTGACGGATCATCGCCGCTCTGCAGGAAGCAACTCCCGGTGCAGCGTATGCTCGACTTTGACTACCTTTGTGGTGCGCCGGTTTCGGGGGTGCTTCCGCCACTCCACCCACCGTGCATGTGCACGCATGTATCTGGAATGATGGTGCATTGCCCGATGGGGGTTTGCGGGAGTGTGCACTTTCGACGGCGGGGTTCTCGAGGCAGGTTCCGTAAGTGGGGCTGGTGCTCACCCACCGCTTGGGGCTGGCACCCTCATGGTCGTCCCTGGCACCCTGCGCAGGCCGCACCCTCCCCTCCGTGGCCTGCATCGTCCAGCCAGGCAGCCAGGGCGGGTAGGCTCTGGCCAGCAGTTTTCTTGCATGGCTTTGGGCGGGGGAGCCCTGCAAGCAAGACCGTCCGGCATGCTTGTGGCAGGATCTTGGCGCTACATTGGGCGTCCCAGGCTGGAAACAGCCAGTCAGTATAGGAGTGCCGTGGCATGGACCCAGCGTACCCACCTGTGCCTCTCCACCGGCCTTCACCCTCCCACCCAGGTTCCAAAAGGTGTTTTTCGGCGCAGAGGAGGTTGCCATCCCGCAGTATGGCTCCACGGCGGAGGCCGCAAAGGCCCATCCCAAGGCCGACGTTTTCATCAACATGGCTTCCTTCCGCAGGTATTGGGGTCCAGGAAGGCGGAGGGAAGGAGCGGGGTGCTCAGGCACGGTGAGCGTTGACCGGACCCCAGGCGCCAGCAACGGCACATTGATGTGCATGGGGTTCTTTCCATGATACCATGCCTCCCACCGCCTGCGTGGCTCCTGATTTCCCACTCGCCAGTCCCTCCTTTGCCCCCCCCCGCCCCCCCCCCCCGGCCCCCAAGAGGTAGCAAACCAGCATCTCACCTCCCCCCTTCCCACCACACCCAACCAGCGCGTACGAGTCGACGCTGGAGGCGCTGCAGCTGCCCACCATCCGCACGGTGGCGGTGATCGCGGAGGGCGTGCCCGAGCGCGACACGAAGCACCTGATTGCCGTCGCGCGGCGCGGGAACAAGGTGGTGCTGGGCCCGGCCACGGTGGGCGGCGTGCAGGCGGGTGCCTTCAAGATCGCCGACGCGGCGGGCACCCTGGACAACATCCTGGCCTGCCGCCTGTACCGCCCCGGGTGCGTCGGCTTCGTGTCCAAGTCCGGGGGAATGAGCAACGAGCTGTACAACGTCATCGCGCGCGCCGCCGACGGCGTGTACGAGGGCGTGGCCATCGGCGGCGACGCCTTCCCGGGGTCGACCCTCTCCGACCACTGCCTGCGCTACCAGAACATCCCGGGCGTGGCCATGATCGTGGTGCTGGGCGAGATCGGGGGCCGGGACGAGTACTCGCTGGTCGAGGCGCTGGCCTCCGGCGCCATCACCAAGCCCGTGGTGGCCTGGGTGTCGGGGACCTGCGCGACCCTCTTCGCCACTGAGGTCCAGTTCGGGCACGCGGGCGCAAAGTCCGGCGGCGACGACGAGTCGGCGCAGGCCAAGAACGCCGCGCTGGCGGCCGCCGGCGCGGTCGTCCCGGCCTCCTTTGAGGACCTGGAGGCCACCATCGCGCGCGTGTACAGGGGGCTGGTGGACGCCGGGCGCGTGACGCCGGCGCGGGACGACCCACCGCCGGCCGTGCCAGAGGACCTGGCCGCCGCCAAGCGCGCGGGGCGCGTGCGCGTCCCCACCCACGTGGTCAGCTCCATCTGCGACGACCGCGGGGAGGAGCCCACCTACAACGGCGTCTCTATGTCGGAGCTCATGCAGGGCGACGCCACCGTGGCCGACGCCATTGGGTGCGGGGGCTGGTGGTGGGTGGGTGTGGGTGTGCACATGGGGGGCGAATGCATGTTGCTCTCGAGGCGCCTACCTGCCGACATGGCACCGTACCTTGCATGGGGGGCGGCGACCCTGCTCCAGTCTCCGCAGCCTCCTCAGCACCATGCCTGCCCTCTGAGCACCTCATACGCCAATACTCCACCCCCCATACCCCCCATCCCTTGGATACACACACACACACACACACACACTCTTCTCAGGCTGCTGTGGTTCAAGCGTCGCCTGCCCGGGTACGCCACCAAGTTCATCGAGATGTGCGTGGTGCTCTGCGCCGACCACGGCCCCTGTGTGTCGGGGGCACACAACACCATCGTGACGGCACGTGCGGGGAAGGACCTCATCTCCTCCCTCGTCTCGGGCCTGCTCACCATCGGGCCGCGGTTCGGCGGTGCCATCGACGGCGCCGCACAGTATTTCAAGGAGGCCGTGGACGAGGTGAGGGCTGTGAGGGAGAGGGGTTGGTTGGGAGGGTCGGCCTGCCTATGAACAGGCCGGGAAAGAGCCTCATTGCTCCAGGTACATTTCCTTGACGTCGTGCATGACACTGCGATTGGGCTGGGGATGATGAACCCCGTGATAGTCTGCTGCCCCTACATCCAATGACCAACACCCCACTCACCTCCCTCATGCCCTGACCCACCACATCAATGCAGGGCTGGGAGCCGGACGAATTTGTGGAGAAGATGAAGAAGCGGGGGATCAGGGTGCCTGGCATTGGGCACAGGATCAAGAGCAAGGACAACCGCGACAAGCGGGTGGAGCTGCTGCAGAGGTGGGGCGTGGGGCTCGGTGTGGTCTGGGTCCTGGGCGTGGCGTGCAGGCCCAGGTCTGCAGAAGCCCATGGTCTCCAGGTTGGACAGGTGTTGAGATGGCGTGGGGGTGCTTGGGCCGAAATCATTGCATGTTTGTCGCCCAGCGGTCCATCCCACTCTGGCCCGGCGACGTAATGTGCGGCTCAGGAGCGCCCCTCCTCACCCAACGCCCCCCATCCGATTCCATGCCTGTGCCAGGTACGCCCGCACCCACTTCCCCTCCACCCGGTACCTGGACTATGCTGTCGAGGTGGAGGGGTATACCCTGCAAAAGGTGGGGAGGAAAGCAGGGCCGGGCCGGTGTGCCAGGCCAGGCACACTGCTTCGTCTTGGCTGGTCAGCTTTTCTCCAGAAAGGCAATCTGGGCACATCCTGGTGACCCTCGGCACGCACTGCCCCACCTAGCACATCCCCTGCCGGTGGTGGGTCAGCTTCAGGACCCTCACCACCATTCCCACCGCCTCACCGCAGGCCGCCAACCTCGTCCTGAACGTCGATGGCTGCATCGGTGCGCTCTTCCTCGACCTGCTCAACTCTGGCGAGTCCATGGGGTGGAAAGGGGGGGTGGAGGAATGGGATGGGCTGAGGGCGCGAAACCCCACCAGAGTCTCCAGTGGTGTCATGATGATGCCAGTCCGGGCGCGACGCCCTGTGAGGTCCACTTGGTTTGTCGCTTTGCGTCTCCTCCGGTGCCAATGTGCAAGGATTCACACTGAGCAACCTCACAGGCACTCTCCCTCCACGACAGTCATGCATCCCCGCCCACACCCGTTGACCCAACCTCTCTGCCATCACCTAATCAGACCACCACACCTCCCCTGACCCCACAGTCGGTATGTTCACCAAGGTGGAAATCGACAGCATTGTGAAGATTGGGTACCTGAATGGCCTGTTTGTGCTGGCCAGGACCATTGGTCTGATCGGGCACTGCCTCGATCAGAAGCGGCTGGGCCAGCCTCTGTACCGCCACCCCTGGGACGATGTCCTCTACACCAAGTAGGACAGTTTTTCGGTGCTGCACGCAGCACTCGTGGCAGCCACCCTGGGCACTTCCAAGCAGGAGCCTCGCGCTGCTCCGCTTGAGCAACCGCGCACACAGCAGTTCACACTCGCTGCTGCCAGTGACTGTTCCCTCATCATGGCATATCACACTTGGATCTGTAGCATTTAGATGGAAAAGCAGATGTGGACCCAAGGATCGGGTCAGTGCATGTAGGACGCTCGACAGGCAGGAGAAAAACCGAATGTGTCACCATCCTTGAATGCTGGAATGGCGCTGGGGGAAGGAGTGAGAGGGGGGACAGGAGGAGATGCCAGAAGGGGCATGCGCGCATCTCTGCAAGGGATGTAGACGTTCAAAATCGGACAGTGGCGTGTGTGCTGTGATCATGGTGGACATCCGAAGCAGGTGGGCATGTGCACCACCGGCTGCCACCCCAGGGAAGGGGGGTTGAGGGTAGATTCTCGGTGGCAATGCAGCGACAAATGCTCAAGTGCATAGGAACTCAGGCGGAGGATGGGTCCCCGTGCTCACGCACACATGCAATCTGAAGAGAAGAGGCTCGCTGCATGGCATAAGGGATGGACGCTTGGTTTCAGTGCGGAGTGCACACAGCAAGGAAAGGGGAGAGGGGCGCGGAACGTCATCACCCCTCCCAAATGTACGGCTCGCTGGATTTGGAGGAAAGATCCTCGTATCGCTTGGAAAGTGGTGCTGGTGCATGCTTCTCCGCTCGATGCTCCTCCTCTCAGACAGGTGTGGTGGGAATCGCAGGGCTTGTTTTCCCACCTAGGCGCTGTGGTTGAGCACCTTGACCAAGGAGAGCGCGCGGGCGCGCAGGCGGGGGTCGAGCGTGGCGTGGCCAAAGTGCAGCAGGCGGGCGGCGGCGTGCATCGAGTCCAGGGCCTGCATGACTCGCCCTGAGCTGGCCATGCAGCTCAGCACGGTCAGCACGGCTGGAAAGGCGGGGGAGATTGTTGATTAAGGGAAGGGTTGACAGTGGCGGTTGGAGTGGGAAGTGTGTTCCAAACCCTGGGATACAGCAAGCATTGATGCAGGAGACATTCCAGACACTGGCCTCAAAAATGTTCAGAATCAGCCGATCTCAAACTATCCAAGCAGCTCACAAGACGGCCCTCTGCAGGAATCGCTCTCCCACACCCGCCAGCTCACCTTGTTTCCGGGCTGCTGCCACTTCAGGCCGGGGCAGGCAGGTGAGCATGCGGGTCAGCGTGCCCTCCAGATGGGCCAGGGGCAGGATGCTCTCGTCAAACACACCTGGGTTTGGTGGGAGAGGGGAAGAGGTGGAGGTGATTGACATGGCTTTCCCACCTGGATGCATAGAGGCCCCCTGCAGCAACCCAGGCAGGACCACATCATGGCGAACCCCTGGGAAAGGGGAACACGCCCTTCACGTTGTTGCACACGACGTTTATGCACTCTGGCAACGGCATGGCCATGGAGGCTCTATCCACGGTCCCGGCAGGGCTCCTGTGCGGCTCCCCCACCTGCCAGGAGCGACCCCAGGCTGAACTGCGCCGAGTCTGGCAGAATCACCGCGCCATTGAACAGCACGCCCACCGTGCTCCCCAGCGACTCTGTGTGATGCGTAGGGGGCTCAGTCATGGACCGACAGCGTGCGGCGCGGTGCCGGCTGCGGCGAGTGGTGCTCTGCGTCGCCGGGCATGGGCTGGTCGGCCGGCCGCGTGGGACACCCTGGAGTGCTTGCCTCCCTGATCAAACACACAGGCGCTGTATTTT